CAGAGTTCCCAAGTGCCATAGCTTGATCTTCATCACCATTGGAGCCCGGCTTGAGCTTGGAGAAGTGCCGATTGTCAACCAGGAGCAGAAATCCATCTTCACAGTATGATTTCCGCGTCTGGATTTGCTTTTGCTTCTTTCTCCATGGACTAGTTTCCCCATTCATCTGGGTATGGGGAACCCTAGATTTGTATGCTAGGTCTGATTGTATGAACCCAAGTACAGATTTTATGAATTGATTATATTCGATTGAGGTTTGAATGATTGAATGACTTGAATCCTGATCAAATTCCTGTTGTTTCTGCTTTGACCTAGAACGAGAATATCTGCCTAGGTTGATAGAGTATCCTTGATTGAAGGTAGGGAGTTGGTGACTTTAGTCGAGGAGCCAACTCACTATTCTGTACCGAATTCACTTCGGTAGTGGAGGTTTTGTTCGTTAGGGCCTCAATCTGTTTACTCCGGTGGAGGTTAGTCGCCCGCTAGAGACTCAGATTGAGAGGGTCTGAAGACCTTTAGTCGAGACTTCAGACTGTTTAAGAACCTTCCGCAGTATAATTTTCATGAAAACTGAACTTGGTAAATTGCAATCCGGCTTAACTGCAGTCTAGGGGGAACCATATTCGGGTGACCTTTCTCGACTTGAACCAACCATTTAACTTGCTTTGTGTTTTTGTTTGCTTGAATTCGCACTAAAGTTTCACTGCTAGATAACAAAAATTCACCGAGTAGTCATCAAATCTAGGACCCGGGTTGACATTAAAACCCAAACCCGCTATACTACGCTTTAGGAAGTGGTTACACTTGGCCATTTTCTAGAGTGACAGTAGGAGTGAGTCAGTTGTACATGCTTTAAACTCGTGGACGCCACCTTACCGTACTCCTATAGAATTGGTATTTAGACCATGAATTAACCGAGTTTGACACATGATGTTATACCATATTCTCTAATAGGTGAAACACAGTCTTTAATTCTCTAATCCAAATCGTACGATTTATTTAATGAAAAATAATAACCACTGATTCTTATTTGTCAAAATATATTAACATACAACTAATAGGCATGAATGAATGTGCATATTACACCTTGAGTGTACGCTAGCCTTTTCCACCATTATATGAAAGTACAACCAAACTATTCTGCTATGCTTCTTACCTTCAACATTGTACGAATGATATCAAAGCAAATGTTAGTTATGGAGACACTTTGTCTTCACTTCACATTATCCTCCAATATTTAATATGTGACCGACTGTAACTGGAATTGTGTGATAACTTAATACAAACATAAAAGCGCTCTTTTGTGCAGTCAGTATAGTAACTGAATTTATAGGACATCGTAATGATATGATCCTGCGTGGATTTTACAGGACACTGGTCCGGGTACGTCCCACCCTGGTGGCTGGTATACATAACATCGGTTAGGGTATGATCCGCAATGGATTTATAGGACACCAGTTTAGGTACGATCTGTGGTGGTATGCATGTCATCTACTATACTACCCGAGGAGTGTATGGCTTGGCAAATTAAGATGTAAAATGCAATGAACCTAACCATGCATGTGATTAAATCATTGTATAAATATTACTTCTGATGTGGTTAAGTGATGAATTTCTATGATGTGATATATGAAATGTGCATGTCGATGATGGTTTTCTATGGTGTTTTATACTATGATTTAAGATTGGATGATATGATGTTTTGCTATGTTGGGACAGGGGTAATATGGTAATGCCAGTATGATGTGATATTTGATGCATACATGTTTAAACAGTGAGTTATCAAGAGATTGGGTGATGGTCCTTATGTTGTGATGTATGAATTCTTTGAGTTTGAGATAATGAATGTGATATGGCATGTGGTGATGAATGGATGTTTATTTGACTGAATAAGATATAGCATATCGGATGTATCTTGATAGTTAAGTTAAGCCAGTAAGATCTGAGAGGTGGGTGACGGGAAACTGAATACTCCATGTTTTGCCATGGTCAATGGGAGGGACAATAAGTCATTTTGAACTATACTCTTAAAGGTAACGGAGAAAATATAGATCATTATCTTATGAGTAAGGTTATCCGGCAAGTATAACTGGTTAATAAAAATAGTAATAGTAATATATGTATTAGGGTGTCATATCAAGTAAGGATTAAAATAGTTATTTACATATCAACCATCATATATCCAATAGCTTAAGATTCGTTTACAAATCTTGCTTGAGTTAGGTGTCATTCATCTAAATATGACTCAAAGTTGCACATCTACACTCATGTAGTGAAAAGAAATAAACTTATGTCAAACAATAAAAAGAGAAAAGAAAGGAATTATAATTATATTAGGAAAAAAGTAATGACAATGTGTTTTATAATTGTGCATGGAAGAATATTTAATGACATACGGAAAATGAAAAGAGAAAGAAGTTGGAATAACATAAAAAAGACAATGATATCATTTTAATATGCGAGAAATGTCAAATTCAATCCTAAAAATGACAAATGCATTATGTACATGTACATTACTTTTTTTTGTAACTTCTTTCACCAATTGGTCACAAACATATTTAAACCATATAACCATAATTCGGTTTTGAAAAATATACAAAAAATTTGGTGACCATTGGTGTCTAGTGATATTCTTAAACACATGAAATTTTGTGTATATATAACTGTAGCATATGACTGAACTATGTTGATATATTTAAGATATTTATAGTAAGTATTTTCTAACAAATTACAACATAACTACATTGGTTCACATATTTATAGTAGTTCGTACAAACAAAATGTTAAATTCTCTGTGTTATAGAATGCAGAAGAAGATTATTCCTTACTTTTCATTTTTCAATTTTCAAAGGAAATCACATGTCAAATTATGTAAAAGTTTATAATTGTGTACCAACTAAATTTATGTTTTGGTTTTTTTAATTATTTTCAAGAAATTATAAACAATTATGAAACGTAGTATAAACTAACAATAATTTATTTGTAGATGTTAATGATTTTCTTATCAATGCTAAAAAATAGAATACACAATTGTAACGGTGATAGCTATTCTATTGGTTAAAAAATAGTTGTGATTAATTGCATGAACGATATTTTAATCTATTGGTTAAAAATTTGAAATGATTACAGTTTGAGCTTCTAGACTGCATGATTAAATCTTAGTTATGCTGATTTATATACATGTTTCGTTGTGGTAAATAGCATCAAATATACTTTATCCTGGTGGTTGAACATTTGAAATGATGATAGTTTGATCTCGTAGGTCGTAGGTTCAAATCCTCGTGATGATGATTGATATTCATGTTTATTTAGTTTTATTTTAATGTAACTAATAACTTAATATGTTAAAAATGATAAAATGACATGGAAAATTGTGAAGCTTCCATTGTCCTATGTGGCAAAAACTTGCTCCACAACGGCCATAATATAAGTTAAGATAAGATTAAGTCTCAACTATTGCAAATTACAGTTGGGTACCTAAATTTAATAGATCTTTAGATTTATAACCTAAATTTTTTTGGCATATAAGTCCTCAAAATATTTATGGAACATTACATTGTAGTACCTAAATTTTTTATGTATTACATCTTAGTACCTGAACTTTTGAAGTTCTACAAATAGGTCTAATTTTTGTATGTGTAATTAAAACACACTCGAATAAAATGGATATCCATACCAACTCATACACATTTAGATTATCAAAATAAATATCCATACCCGACCCAAACCCATCTACATACTTTCAAACCCATATATACGTCACCCATACCCTACCCATAATCAATGAGTCTACTTGAGTTTAGGTAAATATTATTTATTAGCCAAAATTGTCAATTTTTTTAATTTGGATGATGACCACCATAAATCTACTCTCATTCAATATCATATTGTCAAGTCAATATTACTAACAAAACTGCTAACAAAAGAATCAAATTTACGCTAAAAATACTAACAAAACAACATAACGGGCCACATAATACATGCCCATAACCCATCTCCCCGCGACAAGTCGCGGCACCGCAACTAGTATATATATAAACATAAAACATAATTACTGTTCATTAACATTTACATGTGCCCATTACCATATGGTGTGTTTGATTTGGCGCTTTGTTGCAAATATATTGCTGGGGTTTCACTACTCCACCAATCATACTTTATGAGATGTTCGGTATAAAATACAATTCTCCAGAACAAAAAACATAAAATTGAGTTACATGAATTTAATTTTTGCACAAATTATCACATATACAGGTTTTCTATTTATTAGAATTCATTCTCGATAAGAGACTTTTTTCTTATTTTCCAAATTTACCACTTAAATACAATTTTGACATCATAACTCTATAAAACTAAATCAACAAGCATGCTCAACCGAATACTAAAATGAACAAGTCAAATGATCACAATAAAGTGCAACATGTCATCCAGTAATAATAAAAAGGCAAAATTTAAAAAGTGGACTGTAGTGTCTATCGAAATAACTAACTTCTGGTACAGCAATAGCCCAACATCAGGATTAGTTCGGTAGACAAAGAATTGATCAAATATATATTGGTCCTTTAATGATGGTTGTTATATGTCTAGTTACCCTCATGCGAAATTATGTCTACGCGAGCCAAAGACCAGGTGGCAACATCAACAGTAAGCTTCAGGTGTAAAACGAATATCTTGTGGTCCAAATCTCTAAGTCACTTCAAACATTGGGATATTCTCGAGACAAATAGTTGTCTTCTTCCCACTTCGGACTATTCGGTAAGTGTTCGTTCATGTTGGTTAAGAAATGAATGGTGCAGGACCCTTTGTCGTCCTTTTCAGATCCCAATTCTAGCTTGTACACCACAAAAGGCCGGTGGACTGCTGCTGATAAACAAAAATTAAAACAAAAACTTGGGCCGAACTCTACATTATCCTAGAATAATAGTGTTAATGTCCTGATCTCGACCAATATATCTATCTATATAAAGCTCGCCATTAACCACCAGAACTGATAGACCTAAGAGCTAATCACATTTCTTTCACTTGGAAAGATCATAAGTAACAGCTGCGACTAACATATATTTTCACCACAATGGTTTTCGGTCTTCATACCCTCTCCCTGAACCGTGTTGCTGCCCTCCACCAACTTCCTTCAATATCATCACCCAATAGCCACAGGGTAATAAATCGCCGGCTTAGCATGGTGGTCCGCAGTACTACGGCGGACCACAGACGGTCGGCCAATTACAAGCCAACAACATGGAGTTACGAGTTTCTCCAGTCCATCAAGGTCAATGACATCAACGAGGTAATTTCAACAAATTTCGAAATTTTTATTTTTATTTTTTTATGTAGTTGAAGCATGATGATCAGATACTAAAAGTTCATGGGGGGATATTCCTGCAGAATCAACGGTACAAAGACAAGGCAGTGATGTTAGAGAGGGAGGTCAGAATGGTTCTGGAGAGTTACATAATGGAGGAGCAAAATTCGTTACGTGTACTGGAACTGATCGATGATATCCAGAGATTGGGCTTGGCCCATCGGTTCGAGAATGATGTTAAAAAAGCTCTGGGTAAATTCATCCCTATTGAAGGTTGTAACACCATGAGTTGTAATATGTCCCTCCACGAGGTTGCTCTTGGTTTCAGAGTTCTTAGACAAAATGGTTACTTCGTCTCGCAAGGTATTGATTTGTTTTTGGAGTTATCTAAGATTCAATTTTAGTTTTGGAGGGCTGAAGCCTGAAAGGTAGGCTTTATGCATATGTACAGATGTGTTCAAGGATTTGGTGAGTGACAAGAATAATGAAGCCCTCTTGAAGGGATGCGGCCATGAGGATGTGAGATACATGCTGAGTCTGTACGAAGCTTCGTATCTTGCCTACCAAAGTGAAGACATTTTGGACAAGGCGAGGGAACATGCGACTAGAGGTGGCAATTAGGATCCAAATCCATGAATCCAATCCAATCCATCCACCAAATTATCCACCTAATCCAATCCATTTGATCCAAATCCAATTGGATTGGTGGATTGATGGATCAATCCATAGATCCAAATGGCAAATTACAATTTGGTACCTATATTTTTTATATTTTACATTTTGATAACTAAAATTTATATTTTTATACGAAAAATATCATTGGAAAATTACATTTTGGTACCTAAAATTTTTCATTATGACATTTTAGTACCAAAACTTTTCGAATTTTACATTTTGGTCCAAACCTTTGATGTCATTTGGATTCATGGATCAATCCACCATCCATTGGATCCAATCCATGAATCCACCAATCCATTGGATCCAATCCATTTGATCCATGGATCCACCAATCCAATCCACGAATCCGATCCAATTGCCACCTCTACATGCGACTGAACGTCTCAACACCTTCCTAATGGAAATCAGCTCGAGTAATGGTGATGAAAACATGGAAGAACTGGTTCGTCATTCTTTGGAGGTTCCGTTGCATAGAAGAATGGTGATGCTAGAAGCAAGATGGTACATTGAAGCATATAAGAAGAAAGAAAGAGCAAACATGGCGTTGCTTGAACTAGCCAAGCTAGAGTTCAACATGGCTCAATCAGTACTCCAAGGTTACCTTAAGGTCACATCAAGGTAATTAATTTTCTTGAATTAAGTATGTCTATCTGAGTAACAAAATTCTGCTAGGTCAATAGCCCAACATCAACTTTTATTCGGTAGACAAAGGAACACTCAAATATAACTCACTTCTTTAATTATATTGTTTCCAAGAGGATGAATGGATGATCAAATATATCTCCGTTTTTTAATGATAGCTGTTATGTATCTAGTTACCCGCATCCAAATTTATCAAATGGATGTGATGATAGTGGTTCTTAATGACAATGGCTTACTATTTTTATTTGAAGGTGGTGGAACAATTTGGGGTTAGCCAAAGAGCATAGTTTCAGTAGAGACAGATTGGTGGAATGCTTTTTTTGGACGGTCGGAATGATGTTCGAGCCTCGATTTAGCTCATGTCGCAAGGTTTTAACATAAGTTGCTTCGTTTATCACCATAATCGATGACATCTACGATGTTTATGGCACTATGGATGAGTTGGAATTATTCACCGATGCTGTAGAAAGGTATTTTTTCTTATAAGTACATTCCAAACATATATTTTTCTATCAATAGAATACTCTTTTTACTACTTGACCATAGAACCTTAGAAGTTAACGAGTTGATTGTTATCTTACTTTCAATTTGTTTTTAGGTGGGACATCGATGTTGTATCAAGCATGCCGAAGTACATGAAGTTATGTTTCTTAGCTTTCTATAATACCATAAACGAGATGGGCTATGAAGCTCTCAAGAAGTATGGACACAACACCATCTCTTACCTCACTAAAGCAGTAAGTCCCCCCCCCCCCCCCCACCCCCAAATCTTTAATTATGCCAATCATTCAATTAGTGAAGTGCTTACTTTTTTCTATATCAATGGTTATTTTAGTGGGTTGATATGTTGAAGGCATTCCTCAAAGAAGCAAAGTGGAGCTCCAAAGAGTGCAACCCACCAACATTTTCCGAATACATGGAAAATGCATGGAAATCTGTTTTAGGAGCTGTCATTCTGATTCATACATATTGTCTTTTGGATGATGATATCAATTTCTCAAAGGAGGCACTGTGCCACTTGATGAAATCGAACGAAATTCTTCGCTGGCCATCTATCATTTTTCGTTTATGCAACGATCTAGCAACTTCATCGGTAAGCTCCTCGTGGAAAAGAATATTGAGGCTAAAACTTATAACGCAATTCAAACCTATTGGATTTGGAATTGAAAACGTTGTGTTGTTTCCATTTTGAATTTACAAAGATAATCGATTTGAACTATTGGGATTAAATATAATTGAATTTGGATGACCAGGAGGAGATGGCACGAGGTGAAACAGTGAATGAAATCTCATGCTATATGAATGAAACCGGAGTCAGCGAGGAGCATGCCAGGGAGCACATGAAATCCTTGATTGATGAAGCATGGAAGAATATGAACTAAGAGTTACTATTAATTACAAAACATGAGTATGCGTCAACAAATGATCATGTGTTTTCTAAATCATTTCTTCAATAGGTGATTAATCTTGCGAGGATCTCTCACTATACTTATCAGACTGGAGACAACCATGGTGCTCCGAATGCTGGATCCAAGAAGAGAGTCATATCCCTTCTCATTGACCCTATAAAAAATTAAACGTGATTAAGCTTATTGTATTCTCCCTCCTCATGGAAACTATGATTACTTCCACTAAATGGGTAACATTATTTCGTACTCGGTATGAGCTACACTCCAGGAGGAACATATGGAGCATTAAATGGAATCCTTAGCCATACAATAAAGATACTGGTTTCCAATGAATTTCATCATTTTTTGCATTAAATTTTCACTTTTTATTTACTGTCACATGAACTCAACTACATATGTATTGTATTAAGGATAAATAGTCTTATCCGTTTGTGTTTAGTATTCTTTGTATCTCAATTATTCTAACTCATTCTCCTTGTTCTATACTCTACTTCTCATGTACTCCTTGGGTTATAAATACTCCTTATTGCTTAATGATAATACACACAATTCATACAAACCCTACATGGTATTAGAGCTGGTTGCTCTAGTTTAGTTTTTTTTTTCAAGTTTCTACGAGACCGACGCCACATTAAGCATCCTTCCCCATCGGTTCTCTCGGTTTCGTTGTTTTCTATCCGCTAGTCTCCATGTCCGACAAAACCAGCACAGTCTTGTCCAGTGGCACTCCGTCTGTTTTCACAGAGGCTGCCTTGATCACATTCAATCCGGCGACCTCTCTTTCGTTGAAGCTAACTACTCAGAACTTTTCGTTTTGGTGTGCGCAACTTATGTCCCTTCTTGCTGGGCTTGATCTCGTTGGTTACCTTGATGGCTCTGTCGCTAATCCTCATGGTCGATAGTGCTGCCACTCGCAATCCTGACTATTTACGTTGGTTTCGACAGGATCAACTGCTTTTTAATGGCATCTTTGCCTTTATTTCGGAAGGTGTTTTTCGCTTCATCACCTCGTTGACAACCTCGTCTGCTGGCTGGGAGTCTCCTCATGAAGATGATGAAGCTCGTCGCCCCTCTCGAGTTATCTGCCAGTTCTTTGCAAAACCGGGTCACTCGGCTCGTATGTGTTTCCAACTTTTTCCCAATAAACGTTTGTAGGCAAACACCACCATCCTTCTCGTTCTCGGCCCCATGCTTCCTCTGATGACTCCTGGCTTCTTGATACTGCTGCTACTCACTATGTCACTCCCGACCTTGGCAATCTTGCTTTCTATTTGGATTATAATGGTCCCGATGAGGTTTATCTAGGCAATGGTTTATGTTTGGCCATCATGCATATTGGCTCGTCTTCTTTACCTACCTCTACTTGTCGCCTTTCTATTCTTGGTATTCTTTGTGTTCTTGGTATTCGTAAACGACTAATTATTGTTGCAAAACTTTGTTGTACTTATCCCGTCTAGGTGGAATTTTTCGCCCATTGTCTTGTTGTGAAGGATCTAAAAATGGCGGCGGCTCTACTAACAAGAAGGAACAACGGTGATACGTATGCGCTTGGAGGGGCATCTGGTGCCGTTTGTCTTGCTCTGCTTACTAATAATCACACCTCGAATCTTTGGCACTGTCTCCTTGGCCATTCTCCGTCTAGTGTTTTGTCTAGTTTATTCGTGTTCATTCGCTTCCTGTTGTTAATTCATTGTCCTATTCTCCTTGGCATTCGTATCTTTTGTCAAAGAGTCATAAACTACCGTTTGGCCACTCGAGTCTGTCTAATTCTCGTCCTTTGGATTTGATTTTTTTCTGACGTTTGGGGTCTAACTCCTCTTACTTATGTTAATGGTTACTCGTATTATCTTGTTTAAGTGGATAATTTTACCCGTTATACCTAGATTTATCCACTTCTCTACAAATCTTATGTGCTTAATGTCTTTATTGCATTCAAACATCTTGTTGAAAATTATTTCTCTACTACCATTCATCATCTCTATATTGATGGTGGGGGCGAATTTCAAAAACTTCGTCATGAGTTGACTGCCCATGGCATCACTCATCTTTTAACTTCGCCCTATACGCCACATCACAATGGTCTTTCTGAATGTAAGCATCGTCATATTGTTGATATTGGGCTTAGTTTGCTTCACCGTGCTTGCCTTCCTCTTACTTACTGGTCCTATGCATTTTCTACTGCAGTGTATCTTATTAATCGTCTTGCCTCTTTGTCTCTTTGTGGTTAGGTGCCTTTTATTGTTTTGTTCAATGAGGATCCTAACTATTCTAAACTTCGTGTCTTTGGTTGTTTGTGCTATCCATGGCTTCGTCAATATTCTGCACATACACTCGCCCCTCGTTCCCGTCCTTGTGTTTTTCTTGGATACTCTCATCAATAGAGTGCTTATCATTGTCTTGATCCCTCATCTCATCGTTTGTTTTTATCCCGTCACGTTGTCTTCGTTGAATCCTCTTTTCCAGGTCTTGTCACGCCCACACCTTCTCCCCCTTCGAGCTCTTCCTCTTCAGTGTCGAACTAGCTTTCTGCTTGAATTTCACCAGTCACTTTCATCACATCTCATGCCACCTCCTAAGCTCCTTCGTCCGAGTCTTTTCAGCAACCGTCCCCCACTTCTTCCACTTCCACCGCGACGGGCTCCTCTCTGGATACCAACACCACTTTGGTCGATTCCTCGGCTGCTACTCGTCAAGAGGTGTATTTACTACTCTGCATCCCATGGCCACTCGTGGTAAGAAAAATATTTGGAAGCCTAACCCCAAGTTTTCTAACTCTACCGAAGTGTAGCAATCCACTCTTCCTCCTCTTGAGCCACGGTCAATTAAGGAGGCTCTCCGCTATCATGAGTGGCGTGGGGCTATGATTGCTGAAAATGATACTTTGTCTGCTAATCACACGTGAGACTTGGTTCGTCGTCAGCCTCATTTCAATGTTATTGGATGGGTATGGTGTGTGAAGCAAAATCTGGATGGCTCCATTGAGTGGTTTAAGGCTCACCTTATTGCTAAGGACTTCCACCAATGCCTGGGTGTTGATATTCATGAGACCTTCAGTCCTGTTTTGAAGCCTGTTACCATTTGGACAGTCTTCACCGTCGCTCTCTTGCACTCTTGGCCGATTTTTCAGTTTGATATTCATAATGCTTTTCTCCAAGACCCGTTGCAGGAAGAAATGTATATGGCCAACCTCCTGGCTTTCATGATCCGCAATTTCCACGCATGTCTGTCGTCTACATTGTGCTATTTACGGTCTTCGTCAAGCTTCACGTACGTGGTATGGTGCGTTGATCTCCTTTCATGTTCGTTGCATGTTTGTCAAGATTAGTTCAGATCGCTCATTCTTTGTCCATCAGCGTGGTGGGGTACTTGCATATTTTATGATGTAGGTTGATGATCTTCTTCTCATTTGAAATAACTCTACCTTCCTAGCATCGTTTCGTCGGCAGCTGGCCGCCCTGTTCTCTCTCAAACATCTTGGCCATGTTAGTTACTTTCTTGGTATTGATATTATTCCTACAGCTACTGGTTACCTTTTGTCGCAACATAAGTATGTGGTTGATCTTCATACTCGCTTCCAAATGCATGATGCGAAGTCGAGCTCTACTCCTCTTACGTCCACGGCTCGTTTCTCCAATGGCTCTTCTCCGACTGATGCCAATCTCTATCGACAAGCGTTTGGTGAACATTAATACCTTGTGACGACTCGACCAGATGTTGCCTTCTCCATAAACCATTTTTCTCAATTTATGCATGCTCTCATGACAGTACATTGGCAGCATGTTAATAGCCTTCTTCGGTATGTAGCTGGTACTCGGACTCTAAGTCTTCGCATCAGTCGACAATATGGGCCTCTTTCGCTTCAGGTGTTTTCTGATTCCGACTTGGCTTCTGATCCTGATGATCTCACTTCCACATTAGGCTTCTTAGTTTATCTTGGTGACACTGTTATCTCGTGGAAATCCAAAAAGAAACATACTGTTCATCAACCTCTTCCATTGGCCTCCGTTCACTATAGTTCAAATTGTGTGTTTCACTACCGCATGAAGCATCTTGCTTTGAACATCTCTCCTGCCCCGCACCTCGACCTAGCTCGCCACCTCGCTGCCGCTCGTCGCCCCATCGCTGCTTTCCGCTCGTCGCCCCACGCCTCGATGTCGTTCCCCGGCGTCGCCTCGACGCTAGCTCCAAGCTTTTCCTGTGGGTGCTTAATTAGTTTTGATCTTGCTAGTTTCAACTCTTATGTTTTGGGTAGAAGTGATGAATATGCGGCACTGCATTTTCTACACAAAGAAATTGGTTCATTCTTTGAAGAATTGTAAAAGAACATCCATGAGTGTTTCTGTTTCCATTTTCATAGTGGAAGCGAGCAAGGGATCAAAATAACAATTCTATGAAAATTGACTTGTTTTTTTTTTGTTAATTAGAACTTTTGTTCTTGTGGTGAGCATTGCCTTTTTGTCAGATATTAGGTGTCAATGACTTCCCTATATCGGCTATTCATATGTCCTGTCAAAACCGAATAAATCAGGTAGAACACTGATCCGACCATTAAACTTCAAAACTCTTTTCAAACAGACCGTATGACTTAATCCGGTTTGCAAACCTTGTGATACACACAATTCATACAAACCCTATATTGAAATCGTTAATAATGATAAGTTATAGTAATAATGATTTAGTTCCTAAACGTTGATAATGTCATTGCAAAACGTTAATACTACATTGCAAGTTGTCACGAAGTGAGAGAGCAAATGTTGAATTTTGAATTTCTATTTTAAAATGGGAAAAAATTATTAAGTTCGAATTTTATTAAATATTAAATATTACAATCTAATTAAATTAATTTTGGGTTTCCTTTTAATTATAATGAAGAGAGAGCTTTATGGAGAAAGTTATGAGACGAGAGAGAAAGAGAATAATCAATTATCAATATTAATTATATATACATAATGTTTTATTTATCCTCAACTACCTATTAACTACTAACCCATTATTAACTACCTAATCTACTATCAACCAATAGAATAGTTTAATGCTTAAACCTATAAACTTAAGTACCGAATCCTACCCGAGTTTCATCCATGTCAATGTCTCCAGGTTTCTCTCCTCCGACTTCTTTGATTTCATCGCCCTTTGCTTGGGACCGAGAGAAGAAATCTTCAATGTTATTAATTGTGATGGGAAAACCGATCTCCTTGGCCTTTTGCACGTTTGGCTACAAAACTGACTTGTGGTGGTTTTTTAGTGGCTTTGAGACTAATTCCCTTAGTTCTCTCCATCTTTTTCAGTTTTTCTGAGTTCTTTTTCTAGTAATGTTGACAAACCGCGGATGAACTATCGAGCGACTGTTGATTCTCCTCTAAATTTTCTTTTCTTTCTCCAATCCGGATCTTTGTGGTTCCTTACGTCGTCGAGGTAGTCGTTGCTCTACGATGATTCGACTTTCCTTTTCTGCTCAATTTAATCAACCCTTTCCCTGATTCTCCGCCTGAAGATTGAGGTAGGCCTGGCGATTTAGCCATAATTGTCGCTACTTTCCTAGTTGTTTTTCTGGTTTTG